CAATCTGTCCTCACTTTGGCCTGCAGTTGGTGTTCCAACTCATCCATCTCACTTCAATTACTTTGTGGAAAAAGAAAAGTCAGTGTTTTAAGACAGGGAGTCCAGGTTTTAGTGGAATAAAGACAAAAGCAGAAAGAATTACGACAGTACAACCAGTTGAGAATGGGAAGATGGATTAAACGCTTGGCTTGCACTCAGTTCAGAGAGCGCAAACCGACAGCAAGGCTGGTTACAGCAAACTCTGCACCCTTGCACAGACAGACAGTTTTGACAACTTAATCAGCTAATGTTACTTGTTTCAGGTAAAGCTGTTGAGTAAAGATTATAGCTCCGATGCAGCAAACAGGTATTTAGATGACTGACTCCAATACTTGTATCTACCACAAACGCCAAATGAGTGAAGGGAATAGTTAACATGAACAACCACATCTCCTACATCTACATTGTGGAAAGTCTGGCAACTTGAACATGCCAGGGAAACCAAATGACCACAAACTACTTGAAGGCATAGCTTTCCAATGCATTACAGTACTATTGCTAAATTTTATATAAATTGGAAAAAAATACAATCAGGAAAAGCTTATTTGTAATCATGCATCATCTAAGATCATAGCACAACCCCTGTCAAAGGTTGAATTGTGACATATTTTGTCATAGCTAGCTGCTATAAGCACAGGCTCCATACAGTGCCTGTAAGGGGGAGTTCTATATAAATATGTATAAACATGTAACTATCATTTTCTAAAAACTAGATTGAAAAGAACATAGTCCCTCCACCCAAATCCAGATAAAGCATTGATATGTTTTTGTGTACCTCAGTACGGTGAGAAATACTGCAAACAAATTAATTCTGCATCTTGCACTGTTAGTCAACCAGTCTCATCCCTGATTTTTATTTGAGAGCTCACATAATGAAAACAAACAAAAAATTCAACACAAAATTTATACCTAGCTCTTGTTACTTCTAGAGTTGTGCATGTTCTTAATTTCCTCTAATCAGAGCATCCCCCTACACCTCTCTCAGGTCTTGGTAAGTAATGAACCACCACAGCGAGGGAGCAAACGCACTCAGCTGTTCTGCACAGGGCTCCAGCTAACAGACGAGGGCAACGAGAGTCCCATTTTCCCTCAGGGTAGAAGCTCTTGTTGCCCCTCTGACAGACCTATCTCAAAGTCAGTTTTCACTACAAAAATCATTTTTGTACAGGTTGAGGCACTAATTAAAAAAGGACAAGCTCCTTTATTTCCAACTCAGTTTGCAAACCTTGCCTGCTGTCTGTGGTCTGAGACAAGGGCAAAAGATCCAGCCACATCAGGGTCCCTAGAGTGTTATTAGGAGAAAAGAGAATTAAAGACAGCTCTCAAGTGGGAGCTTTGCCTGTGGATGAGTGGTACGCAGGGCTCGCTCCAAAGAACCAGCTTAGGGCAAGAGAGCTGTAGCAGGTATAGGGAAGCAAGAAAACAGGGGCAGGCAAGAAATTAGGGGCAAGCAAGGGGAGAGGGTGCAAAAGAGAAAGGAACGCACAAGCAATTTGCAGCCCTATTATCCAGCTGGCTGCTAGGGAAAGCAGCTCTGAGGCACTGGTAACCAGATAGCCCTACCCCATTCCCAGCTGGGGAATGAACCGATCGCAAATTAGAGCTGCTTTCCTTTCCTAACTCCCCAGGGAAGAGCAGCAGCTCTTTTCCAACTCCTCCCTCTTCGCTGCAGCAGCCCTGCAGGTGCTCAGGATGCTATTTTCAGCCATTCACCAGCAGGTGTGACTCAAGGCCTGTTATTTAAAAGTGTACAAAGGCTAATTTAAAGTGAGAAATGTCCTTCCTAGTATTGTGACGACTTCAGTACTATGGATACAATTCACCAACTCTTCTTACTTTTCATTTCTTCCGCAATTCCCTATTCACTTTCAATCTAATATGCTTTATACAAGGAATTTTAGGAAGCCTCGGTACATTTGCAGAGCCCAGGACTTTTGTCCTGGTACCAGCACCCAACTACCATGAGAAAACACACATCTTCCCTCTCCGTGCCCTCCTTCCCAGCATTTTTCCTACCTGCCATGACATTTCTGGGTGAAGTCTGTTGCTTTCAGCTGATACTGTGAGTTGCTCTCATATTTGCCGTTACTCTATATATGTTCAAACAATCTAATCATGAGAAACAGAACACAGAGTACTAGACCGGAAGATATTGAGAAACCTCAGGACACATTTTCTCATGTGAGCTCTGCAATGGAGTCCCAAAGCCAAATGCCTGTCTGAATATGATGCAGGTATAGCCCCAAGGGAAGAGGGTATGAAAGAATCTTATTCCTTCTATGTAGAAAGTGTCAGCATTCCACTACGCTCCGATAAACTGAACTAGAAGGGATGTCTCCATCCATCCCTCAGTGGCGTGGCCGAGCTCACTGTTGCATTCCTCTAGGGTACATGAACTCTGTTTATATCCTAGTACCAAATCAGTTCAAAGCCATGGAAAAAAACTCGATAGACGTCCCAAAATATTCTCACGCTTCCTTATATGGAAAGCCAGGTAAGCACAGTGATACAGCACAGCACCTCTAGGCACACTGGAGCTATCACTAATCCACCCTAGGCAGCAGTTTTCCTAATAATTCCCATTAGCAAATCATTCTCCCAGTGAGGGTATGCTTGGGGCAGCAGAAGACCTGTGCTGTCTCATTCCACCACAAACACCATGCCCAGCCATGTGTGCAAAGGCAACCTTCCACAGCAGTAAGTTTTCACCTGCCAGAATGCACCAAAGACATTTCAGATAAGCCAAATGCCAAGTGTCTTCATCTGTAGATTGAATGTGGTGGCTGGCATAAATTCTCATGGATATATAGAATAGTTTGAGGGAAGAGGGCAGGACTCGCTTCAGACACACATATTCATGCTTAGGTGATATTTTTGGTGTGCATGTGTTATAATTAAGTATTAAATTCATAAAATTGTACAGTGAAGGCTGTGAGGGCAAAAGGGATTGCACTGCTAAGTTCCCTTAAGTTCTCTTTTGTCCTCCCTCCTTCCTGTTCCCACTTCCATCCCTTTGTCCCCGTGTTCATTACTTTCTTCCAACCTTATTTTTTCCTGCTCTCTCCTATCATTCTTCTTCCCCTCCTCCCTTCTGTAATGTCTTTCAGTTCCTCCTTCAGCCTCTTCTCCCATCTCTGAAAAAGCTGTGTTGCTATACCTAGCCACACTCAGGTTTGCCACCTGACAACAGCTAGCACAGGAAAACCATGAAGCAGGAAGAGCTGCTATTTCAAATCTCTCTATCAGCAGATGCTTTAGCCAGAAGCTGCAGCAAAAAAATAGGATTGCCTTAGGAAGGTGAGCAAATACCATCTGGGAGGAACGGAAGGAAAACTGAGAGATTTAAAGCAATTCTGTAAGATCACACTACCTGCAGTTCAAAGACCACAGTGCATTTATTTCCCATACATTTGAAATAGCAAGTGACAGATTTGCAACATTTTATTGTTCATACTTATGCTCTAATATGATTAGATGTGGCACTTGAATCTGGTTGCAGCAGGTATTAAGACATGTATGACAGGCATTTCTTCACAGGTTGCTGTACTGAGCTATAATTTTTATTTCAGACACACACATGCACACAATTACTCCGAAGAAACACTCTAAATATGTGAAACAGATTGACTATATAGGTAAGCAAAAACCTCTAAAGCACAGTTTTGCAGCGAAAGCCAGATACATAAAAATGGCACCTTCCAAAGTATCCCTGAAAACCCTAACTTAGCAGTATTATTAGAATATATTAGCCCTGAAAAGTCAAACTTCAACAAGAAAGTGAACTGGCTTTCACTACATCTTGTGCATCTGAACTTCTCCTTTAGTGAACATATGTAGATAGAAATTAAGTCAAAAGTTGCACAAATTTTGTGATGGCTTGAGGACACTAGGACAGAAGGCAGCTGTGGTTAGACTCTGGCCTACCAAATTATCATAGACATCTTCCTCCTTTATTTGTCCAGAAAGCAACACAGCAGAAGGTCCTACCCATCATCAGATCCTATCAGCAGCTATGCAGCACACCCGTTCTCACCTCAATAGCTTACCAGCTAGCATTCCACCATAAAGTGGAAAGAATCCAGCTTAACTGTCAAATCCCATATATTCATTCAGCGTGCAGGAGAAATGTAAGAAGCACTTCTGAACTGGCACACACAATGAGGAAATTAGAGAGTAACAAACAACAGAATACCAGTATGTTGTTTCTAATAGCAATAGAATAGACCTGCATTTTGGGGGTTGCGCATTCGTGTGCCACCCATGAGCCACTGTCACAGTCTGTAATGGACAGGCTCTGTGCGAGCTCCGTACCCAAGGAGAAAGTTCATTCCAAACCAGGCCGATCTAGCTCGTTCTGAGATCAAAGAGAACACATCTACACATCTTCTATGCAAAGTAAAACTTCTACGTCTTTCACCAACAAATTAGCTTTGTGTTATAACTGACCTAGAAATAATTAACATTCGGATTTACAATGCTGCTCATTCTGCTTTACCTTCTTTTTACCTACATTTCCCTATTGAAGTTTGTCTTTTTCATCCTTTCTTCTGAATATCACATCCCAATTCCTAGCTCTCAAACAACCACGCTTCTGTCACACCCCTCTCCCTCATTTCAACCAGTAAAAACAACTTTCTCAGCCTTCTGGGTTGCCTCAGAAAGGTTTGAGTTTCATTTCCTTTAATGCCTGTGTATGGTCACGCTACATATATAAAAATAGTAAAATAATAATACTTAACATATAGCGGTCTAAGCACTCACCTGTTGCCTAAGCAACAAATAAATTAACCTGCAAAAGACCCAACTTCATCCTTTTCATGCTGAGACATAGGGAACATACATTTCAAATTACCTTATGAAACACACTATGAAGAAAAGGACACAGCAGGTACTAAATGAAGGCACAGAATGGGAAAAAGACAAGGCAATACCGCATTTTCTGTATGAAATGAGAGCCTTACCATCCTGCTGGCCCTGGAGGTTCTGAGGACTTTGCATTCTCTCTTCCAGATTCGAGCTGAGGTCAGAGTTCACAGCGGACATCCTAGTTGAGTCACTCATATCAAACTCATCACTTTCTATAGAGCTTTCATCCTGCAAATGGAAAGTTTCAGGGACATGTCAGAAAACATCGTGCGCTGTTCACGTTATGTGTGCAATTCACTCATTCCCGTTCCTTTCACCCACACCTGGTGTGGAGTGTAATCATGCTCAATCTTTGTGTATATAAGCAAACAAGCAGAGCACGTAAAGAAGAGCAAGGAAAACACAGCGTTTATGTGATATGATAATCTGACAAATGCAATTTGTTCAACTCTGACGATACTCCATTGCCATACTCCATTACCTCACTCGTAATTGTTTCCATACTTTCTTGCAAAAGAGGGCTAATAACTAGAGACTCCACATCAAGTCCTCGTTATTCAAATTTTGTAGAGGAGAGCTTTCAACATTCCCTGCCTGAATCCTCTACCTTTCCCAAGCCAGGTCAGTAACGCCATGATGACCACTCACACGAAGATATTTCTGAATGGCAACTTGACCTAATATGAATCCACAACCAAATTCCCTTGTCATGATGTCACCCTTACACTGCTACTGTGTTTAAAGAAGCGCCTATTAAAATGATAAAGCTTATAAAAGTTCTGAGCATGTTCAAACAACAGTCAATGGCAAACCTGAGTAATATAGTTGTATGAGAATCACTTCAAATTTATTCTGCCTCATACATCTTTAATATCATTTATCCATCAAGTCTAATTACAGAGTCTCTACTAGGGATGAGAGCAGAGGGCAAAAAGAAAAAGTCCTGATCAAATATTTTGTCCCCAATTATAAAAGCAAAACAGTTTTGGACCTAGTCCAGCAACTGTTTACTTGTTTATAATATTTAACTTTAGTTTTTTCAGTCCCACTGAAGTTCATGCGTGCACTCTTAGATTAAAAATTAAGCATCCACAAGTCTTGCTCTGTACGCTGCTGAGGCAACACGCAAACCCATGGTGATATATTTTCAGAAACAACTTTTCTCAGATAATTACTCCTGTTATGAAGAAAAGCCATTTAAAGAACATACAGAAAAATAAGGCAGATAACTTTGTATCTCCTGGATATTAGTTTAAAATACTTTTCCAATTAATGTATGCATTTTTTAAAACAAAAACAGAACTTTAACTGACAGGATTCCAACTGTTTTTTCTGGGTTGCTCACCAGAAGTGACTTAGAAAAATAGCAATCTTTAGAAAATGTTTTACTGTGTATTTGTTGTGAACTGATTTCTACAGATGCCAATACAGCTGCTTTCTTCTTTCTGAGCACTTGGCCCTTAAATCGATTTCTCTCCTGGGTCTCAGTGATGTTTCCAGCTCGCATGGGTGTTTCTCTTGGTTTTGGAAGAGAAGTTCCCTGCAGTCACACGACTTTTGTTGAACGGGGAGGAGGTGCTGCCGAATGCCATTCAGGAGTGAGGGTGGGACAACACACAAGGCGATGCCGTTCTGCACTGTCTCACCAAGACAATGACAAATAACGAAACAAACACACCTTGTTCTCAAAGTTTTGTAAAAAACTGAAGGGAAGAATGAGACCTTCTCTAGCGGGCACCTGTCTGCTTTGCCCAGCTAAGGTGGGAGCACCCCAGTTACAGCAGCCGCAAATACGGGAGCACTGCCCTCACGCAAGAACCGTGGTCCCCACCAGCCTCCTGCCCCAGACAGACGGGGCCGAGGCACATGCCAAGCTGGTTCTGAGGTTCAGAGAAAAGGCACATTGCTTGTTCAAAGAGCAAGATCAGAACACAAACTCCCCCAGACCTTCTGGAAGGCTGTGTCTCTGTTAAGACACAGTGGTATTTCTTACTGAATCCTGCAGAAACCGGCAAGCAGCAGCTTACGTTTTCCAATTCTGAGGTTAGGCAATCTGCGTGGGCTCCCAGGAAAGACGCTCTGGCTATCCAACACTTGCATAGGTATAAAACAACACACATGGGCAGCCTGTGTTTGTCTACGGCACTCTGCGGAACATCTCCACCTCACTCCCCAAACTGTGTAAACATTTATCTGAACCTGCGTGGACACGCAGGCATGGGGAGAGGAGCTGGGAGCCACTGGCATCTGCGCACCGGTTGCAGCACAGCTGTAAATTCCCACACAGTGATGAGTTCTCCTTTTAGATGAAGCCTGTTTCCCTTTCATCGATGGCCTCCGCTTAAAAATGATGAATTGAGGATGAGAGAATTAGGAGGCTTTCAGTCACTGTGCCAGCTAGTTGTGGGATCCAAGTTTACTCCTGTCTCAATTCCACCCCCTCCACAACAATACAGATATGATTGATGAAACCTTGGAAACAGAGCCTTCCTACAAACCCAAGCAAGTTTTTTAAGTGCATGAAACAGTTTAAATGTATGCATCAGAAATCTTGCTGCTTTGTACTATAACATTTTCACTGTCGTTTTGTTCTCAGTGCAACAAATGTACAACCTGGAGAAAAAAGAAATTCTTAGCAAAACTCTGCTTTGAGAAAAGATATAAAGATTATTTTGAGAACTTTCCTTGTGACCGCTATACCCTGCAAAGACATTACTACTAAAACATATGAAAAATTACTTTTCTCTTCATAAATCCAGTGCCGCAGACATTTCATACGCAGTAAGGTTAGAGCTGCAAAACCGAGCTGGGCAGGGAGATACGGAGCAATGGTGCTTCCTGCTGCCACCCTATCGGTTCCACTGCTTCATCTAGATGAAAAACTGGTTTAACAAAAATTTCAGGCATCAGATCAGAAAGGCTACACCAAAACATTCAGGCTGTAGAAGCACTGTGGCAGGTGGCCCTGATCCAGCATGAGTGCTTGTGGGAGGAGTAATTCTCAAAGGGAAGAAGTGGAAAAACCAAGGAGTCCTTTAACTCCTAAGGCTACTGCAGGGATAAAGCCTCTCCTCTCCTGCTGCTTGAAATCCTGCTGCCAGATCCCTGAAAAGGGGCAGAACGCAGAGGGGAGACTCGATAGGAGGGAAAGATGACCAGGCTGTGTTTGTGCATGAAGAACTCTGAGTTGGGGATGTCTCCCCACACCCTCCACAATTAAGAAAAAGGCACAAGCGAAACAAGGATCCTGGTATTTCTAGAAAAGTGATGAAATCCCTGTTCTATGGGCTGTTGAATAATTCATAAATCTCCACCAATAGCCCCTGTATCTACTTATTATGAAACGAAATCTGGCTGACTCCACAGAAGTCAGGAGTCCGTCAGGGTCTTTGACCTAATCCAGCTGCTAAGGTTGGTTTTGAAGGTTTTCTTTATTAAAAAATATCTTGTAGTCAGGCAGAAGGACACAGCATGCAGAACTGCTTTTTGGCTGGCACGTAGCTGGGCTTCTAACTATTTGGCAGCTCAAATGGTAAATGAACACATTTCTAGCAAAATGAGTTTATTACAAATAATTTGGTAGGTGCCATCCAATTGATGAAGCACTTCTTAAGATCTGGAAAATCCCTGAATAAATCACAGAAAGAAAATAATTTTTGAGAAGAAACAAATACAATTCAACTCCAATTCTCTCTGAAGAAGCTTGATTCTCAGTCTACTTCTTTTCCTTTTTTTCTTTTCTGTCTTTTTTATTCAAAGTTTCAAAAGTAACCCCCACTCTTATTTATCAAGCTTTTTGCCTTAAAGATTTCAACTGATGTCGCCAGGGCTTCCATCTATCACACTATAATGTGTTGCATCCTGGCCGCTAACCTTGAGAACACCATGACATTCATTTCAGCTGTTGATGGTATTGCTTTCTAGAAGTCGACAATGAAAGTCACTGCTGAGCACAGCACTGAGTCTGGGGTGACCATGCTGCCCCCCGTTACCCCTTCCGCTGGTCCAGACAGTAAAAGGGCACCTTCAGGTAATTTGAAGCAGTAAAGCATATTACCCTCAACCATGGAAGGGTGGTAAGTCATGACCTTTTCTCTCAACCTGATTACTTGCAAACAGCCCCAGTTTGGTTTCAGACTCACTACTTTAGCAATGAAATTATAAAGATGGGATCGACAATCATCTTCAGTTCAGTTTCCTGGCTACCACAAAGACAAGTACCAAAGAACACAGGAGAACAGAAAAACAAAAGATATCAGGTTTTACCTCATCTTGCTGTGAATTTAGTAGCTGCAGCTTCATGTGTTTCATATAAGCCATAGTAATTGGCATGTTGTAATCAATCATACTGGTCACCAAAGTTGGAGGTTTTCCATTATCTGCAATAAAAATATTTATTATGCGTTGTATGTTAATTGTGGAGGCTACTTCAGCCTACTCCCCAGTCAAAGTCAGACAGTTATGTCATTTAGTTCTAACTTTGGCATTTTCAATCGCTTGTAGGCTGTACAGATGGAAGTCTCCTGAAGAAAAACGAAAATGAAGTTCCAACTCTGAAAAGTGATGAGTTCTTCTACCCTAAATGACTACAGCACATGCGCCCTATCTATTCCTTATGTTTAAGCCCCCATATAAACATTTCCACAGCAAAATAAATTATTTCCTCCAGATAAAACCATCTTTCTATTGAGGGCGCGTATGGTATTACACTCCATCCTTAAGTGAAAGCAGAAGATTCACTACCTTCCAACTTAAGTAAATGAGATGATCTTATTGAACTGTTCCAGTCTACCAAATTTTTATGAACCCTCACTTAAGCTAGGAAAATATAAATGGGTATTAAGAATAAAATGACTTTACATCCCAGTATTTGACACTAAAACTACCTTTATGATCCGCTCCATCTGGGTTTAAATGCATTCTTTTCTGGCACTCTGAGCAGCTCATTAGAAATCGTGTCACCGCTTCTCTCGGTAGGAAGGCATAGGTCTCTGAAATCTGAAATGAGTAACAAAATATAGGTGTTATTATATAAGCTGATTGAACATGATTTAACAGAACTGATCATTATCTTTCCAAATAATAAGGCATATTATCTTGTGATGCCAGGAAGCACAATGAAAGCATGTTCTGCATACTATGTAGGATTTCAAGAAACATCTATCCACTCTGCCTACCTAGCCTCTAACGGCTAATAGCAGTCGACACCGAACAAAATTTCACTTATATCAAAAGGGGGTTTGTTTTCTGTTTACAGTTTTTTTCAAATTCCTTTCAGCAGAAAGATTCACACATAACAGACTCCCACTGAGGGATGTTTTTAATAGGAGTTAAAAAGCAATCTTTTTCTTATAACCAATACCAAAAAAAAAAAAAAAAAAAAGTGCTTGGCTTATGCGCTCTATTTATTTTTCTTGTAACAATAAGTAGACAGATACAGGACTTGGTGTATTAGCAGCAATGACAATCTCCTTACTATTTTAACTTTGTATTTGAATGTTTTGTGAAAATATTCTTGGAAAGCTTGTGATTTAATACTATGGAGCAAATATGTTATTTTTACTGATAGTTATAGAATTTGGGAATTGCTTGATTTTAAAGACTCTGCTTTACCTGGAAATATCTTGAAACAACAGATTTTGGTTGTTTCTTCATTTCAACATTATCTTTCTTTCCAGTTATATACTCACAAGTAGGCATCAGAGGGAATTATTTTTTTTCTTTTTTGAAAGGGCAGAGGGGGAAATAGTTATTGCTCTTTTTAAAGATTGCATTCCCCCCACCCTCAAGGGTGCATGTATCTTTATAGACATTTTGCCTTGCTGGAAAGGACCTGGAGGTTGGTGCCAAGCTGAAAATGAGCCAACAGCATACTCTCTGAGCACAGACAAAGCACATCTCAAACTGGCTACATTACGTGTACGGCCAGCAGATCAAGAAAAATTATTATCTCTCCCTACTCCGTGCTGCTAAGACAGCAGCTGGAATAACGTGTCCGGGTTGCCCCTCCACAGTTCAAGAGGATGCTGAGAAGCAGGAGAGGGCTCTGCGGCAGGCCACCATGGCAGCTGGAACCTAAAGGAAACCTTGAAGGAAAGGTTGAAGGAGCTGGATTTGTTTCATGTAAGTTATGAGGCAGAGAGAGATCTAATTGCAGCCCATCGCTGCATAAAGGGGAGTTAAAAAACTGTGGAGAGAAACTCTTCAGAGGGTATAACCAGGGACAACAGCCACCAACTGCAGCTTGGGATGTTCAAACTGGACATCAGCAGAAACTTCTCACTAAGAGGCCAGTGCACTGGAGCAGATTTACCAGGCAGGTGGAAGAATCTCCAAACTTGGATGTTTTCAAGACATTACAATGCAAAGCCACGGCTTTTCTGTGATCCATTATATATGTCGATGTATATACACTGAACAGTGCAAGTGTTGTGAGGAATCTCTAGCCTTTCTTTTCCCAACTACAGTCGTTGTCTTGCAGTGGAGATAATCCTTAAAGAAAGACAAAGTCCCAGCAAGAGATATTAAACGAGTCAACTGATACCTGCTTCTACTCCTTTATTGTAAAACCTACAGCGGGATTTGATTTCCTGTCAAGTACTGTGTTGATGCAAGTCTCTGTAGGGAGTGCAGAAGGATGGAAGTGGGGCGTATGAAAGTGTGGATACAGAAAGGACAAGATAACTTTCTTTAACTGGATGTAAACGGGATTACTTAGTGTGAAATCACTTGTGCTCCTCACAAGGGTGCTAAGAAGAGGAGGAATGGCCAGTTTTAACTCTCTTACACTCTTGTCCTTGGCTTGTCACTTACTTAACCTGTGTTGAAATTACATTTCCTAAAACTCCACGGACCAAATTTATCAGTGACAGTATTTTGGAAAATAGGTGGAGTTTAAATTAGTGTTTGTTGATGTGACATGAGTCATGGAAATACGTGGGAATGATGCACTGTAAAATAAGAACGCAAAATATACCATCCTGTTTATGGTATTGTTGTTTAGGCTGTTTATTGTTGTTGTTTCCTTACATAACAGAAATCTTATTTGGCGCGGGGGGGGGGGCGGAGAGAAGAGGATTTGTATAAAAGCAAGATTTCTTCTGTGATGAAAGTTGGCAAAGATTTTCTCTGGGTCTGAAACAATTTATCTGAAAATGAAGGCACTAAAGGAAGCCACGTTTAAATGGGAGATCCTACCAAAAAATATTTTCAGATTATTTTTCCTGTTTTTAATACCACAGAACAGATGCTTATTTACCTTTCTAAATATGAAAACATTGGTTATACTCATGCTTTATGGAAGGACTTTTAAAAGGACTTAAAATCAGCTAGAATTTAGCATTAAAAAAATTGGTAAGTGCATATACGCAGCAACTTCTCTCTCATAACAGTTAACACATTTAGCACTGTATTGAAATTAATGGAGCTTACCCATGGATTCATTAGTTGCCTGCATTTGATAGGAATGCTCCATTTATTCTAATCAAGCATCTCTGTCAAAATTCCAGCTCTGCTCAAACAAGATGAAACTCCTCCATGGGAAGCAAGTGAGCTAAGGCCCAGATTTGATAGGTATGCTCCACTGACTACAAGGGAACCGGGTTTTATAACTAAATTTGTCCACATAGCAGATGCTTGTGTCTCCAACCTCCCACTGCAACACGGTTTTAAGGATGCCCTTCCCTAAATAACACCAGTTTTCACCAACTTCCTCCCCTGTTTACTTTGTAATTTGAATCAATCACTTACATTCCAAGACTTCAGCCTGTATAAATTGGCATAACACAATAGGTATGACGTTAAGAGATATGCAGAGGACATAACCCACAGCTTTCCTTATTCTCGCTGCTTGAATATAGACAAAACGCTCTTTCTAATTTTCAGTGCCAGAAAGCTTACAAAAAAAACCCCCAACCCAAACCTCATGTCCCCAACAGTGTAGACTCCTGTTTGCCATTCTCATGGAAGAAGGGCACGTCTACTTTACAAGATGCAGACAGCCACCCGCTCGCTCTGGCCATGCTCCGAACCAGCTGGCTTAGCACCAGCTGTAGCTGGGAAGCTCTCTAACCAAATTAGCACAAGGCCGAACATAAAATCCTCTATATTTCACCTCTCAGTAGAGTTTACCTTGTGCACAAGGTTGGGCTGATGTAGTTCATGGAGCTGGCTTGAATGTATTTCAGAGCACAACCTGGAGGCCTATGACACTTTCTAAGTAACTATACAGAAATACCGTAGACAGTGGTCTTACTCCATCAGGAAAATTTGTTTCTGTCCTCTATTCTATCTGAAAGAAAGCAATAATGACTCAGTCCTCATTGACGCTGTATATTCTCACCGCCTTCAGTGGCCCTGCTCCTAGCTCTCATCTCAAGGCCATTAGCTGACAAAAAATATAGCTAGACCATCTCATTCAGTGATGTGCTGCAATAAAAGAATATTGTTTTTATTGCAATTCCACACAAAAAACCCAAACACACACACTTCTACATTTTAGGAAAAAAATAAGTCAGAAAAGTGAATTGAAGTGGGGGATATTGCATTATTTACATCCACACACAATGCAGACTGGAATATTTTTGTCATGACTTACAGGAAACCGCTCATGCACATGCCCGTACCAATCAAAGAACAATCAGTGCTGGTTGACCATATTGATAAAATTACTTGGATTGCTTTAAAAAAAATTATATTTTTTTCAAATATGAAGCTTTAGAAGTATCCTTATGGGATTCCTTATTCTTACTAGTGGTTTTATTGCATTAGAATATCTTCTGTTGTAGAAATGTGTTATCTTGTATCTACCTGGATGTATTCTGTATCACGGACAAATTGGAAAATAAGCAGATTCTAGCAGGTTGGTGTTTAGGTATTGTGTACTAGGTATAGCTCTTACAGTTGAATGGTTTTTTAGATTGTAAAGGAAAAAAATATATAAAGAAGAAACTAGACATCTGGAGCATTAAGCAAAGAGTGCAAAAATCACACAGGGTTTGTTTTAGCCTCAAAAGTTACAGGATAAGAAGCCAACATTTCCTAACAATAGTCCACGTGCACCTACACATATTTTGTTTTACCTCTGAACTCAGAGGAAACTAAAAAGAGTTGAGTTCAGTGGCTTCAGAGTTAAAACTTTTATGATCTTATTTCACTGTTCACAAAAAGTCTATGATACAATAAGATTTTGACATATATCAACCCATCCAAAACATTGCCCAACAACGAAGGCCTTCTAGACCTAAAACTGACCTACATGCTGTTTACTGGATCCCATGAAGAGCACAACTACTACAAGGCAAGTAATCCAGTACCTGAGCATGTAATGTGATTTACATTGCAGCTAAGTGATGCGTGCCCTAGTTGTCTACGAGAAGTGCATTGCATTCCTATTGCATCACTGCAGGCAGAGAAAACGGGCAAAGTCTCCTTTATACTCTTCAATATTCAGACGATTTAAGTGCAGGATGTTGCAATGATGTAGCTTTCAGAGCTACATTTTTATTTGGAAAATTAGCAAGCTCTAAACTGAAAGGCAGATTTTAGGACACATATGGCAGAGCAAGAAAGACAAGTGTGAGGAGAGGGAGTGAAATTTTGCAAGTGAACCTATTAACCCCTAAAGAATTAACATGGAGGATGTATGTGTAGTCTGGAAGATACAATGTGTCAGAATAGATTTTTTGTGTGTGTGTGTGTATTTTTTTAATCAAGGAGGGTAAGGGGAGGGGGGGGCGAGCATGATCCAAAGAAGACTTCCAAGAGTAGAGAGACAGAGACAGGGAGAGAGAGTGAAGATGGTAATCTGTCCTGGGCCCACAGCCATCAAACCAGGTGGCAGAAATTGGTTTCTTGATGACAGGAGGGCAAGCCAGCCAAGGAAAGTCCTCTCCTTTCCTCAGCAAGAGGTCAGAAGAGAAGGCTGACATAGGAAAGCAGATATATTACTGCTGGGAGTTTTATCAAGAGCTTGCTACCCTGCTATACTGGGGAAAATGCTGTTCCCTCTTGTGCTAAACTTGCACTTCACAGCTCCCTTCCCTCCCTGCGTAACAGAAGCCGTTTTCTGTGAGGGAAGCGATGGGGAACACCTGCTAGCGGGACCACTGCCAGGACACTCAGCACTCGCCCTTTGCGAAGAAGCCAGAACAAATCCATAGGGTAAAAGTGCACGGGGCTTGGCCGTTTCGTCGTGCACACAGGAACAGCACGAATGCAAGGATTTAAGTGTGTTAAGGTCCTGCACAAATCTCATATTCTGCCGCTTCCCCAAGGACAAGGTCTGCCCTGGACGGAACCAGCCAGGCCCTAAACCTGCTTTAACCCTGTTTGATCAGAGAAGTTGTACTTGAAGGAGGTGATGTTATTTCACAGTGCGTCCTGTCAAAAAACATGTTGCCTGTGATGCTCAGAGGGGACTCGCAAGCACATTCCTGTTTTGGGAGGGGAAAAGAGTCACACCATGTTTCATAATCTGAGGAAGGTTTTTCTTAGGGTAACAGGAAAGAGGGATGCTACTCAACAGCCTGATCCCAAACCAGGAAACATTTATTACTGCAACAGCTGGATGAAGCACAGGACCCCAGATATTGCCCCACACCTAATAGACTTCTGTTATGCCTCAGATGTTATATATTTATGTAGTACCTATCTGATCAGAGTCTTGCCTCAGGCTACTTTCCCTTGACACATCAATATCTCCCCCATGTTTTACAAGCCTGTTTCTCTTCCAGCTCATCAGCCCAGTGCTCTTTTTTCATTCATGGGTTGGGAGTTTTATTAACTGACCCATTTCTCCTGCTCAGACATCACAACCCTCACTCACAACTCAAGTTCAGTGCTGTAACATTTCAAGGCTTTGCAGGGTGGCTACGCAGGCTCAACAGGCAGATATTACATCATCCTTCACAGGTAAAAATACTCAAGTAGAATATGCACATAGAATTTAAAGTCCTTAAGATGGCTACGAGACTTACACAAACAGCTCTTGGGTAGATGATGCACTTAGTTATGGGAAACTTTGTCCAGATACGGTATACAAAGGTGAGGCACTTACTCTATTGTTTAAATGAATGAAAATAACATCGTTTTTAAGAATATTAAAGAAAGTAAAGAAAATAAAATCTATTCTGAAATACAGGGCTTGATCACTAAAACTGGCCTACCTGTACCCATAGCTGGGCCTGAGAGGAGACAGAGATGTTTTCCATCTTCAGTCTCGTCACAGACTATTTGAGTTTCTTGAAAAATATAACAAGGCTATTTTTTTTCCTGGTTTGCACTGAATCACAACAGTGTTCTAACAGCTTGAGCCTGTTGCATGATGCTGCTTTTCCCAAACTTTTCCCAGTTACTCCTACCTCTGATATACCCCTCAGCACTCGAATTTAAATTTCAGAATCAGCTGAATGGTTTAAGTCAAGAAACGCAGCTCTACAAAGGCACAGAACGCCCGCTATGCGCTTGTTGCACACTTTTCCCAATACATCAGACGGATTCTTTTCCTGAACGCTTCCCTGATGTGCATCCCCGTCTCCTCTTTGACACCGCGGTTCTCCTTTCAGGGTGGGATGCCTATACAAAAGTAAGTTCTTCAGGACAGAGAGGGAAAAGCACTATCCCAAAGCAACGCAGTTCCTCTAGGACACTGAGCTGTAGCAGCGGGTGCTAGCAGAGTCACCCCGACGAGGATCCTTGGTACTTTCTCCCGCCCGCTTACCCCATTCCTTGCATCAGCATGTTTCACCCCACCTCCTATGGAGCCCGGCAGAGGACCCAGGGAAAAAGCAGGGGGAGCAGGGACCTGTTTGGGCACCGGCGCTTTCCTTGGCACCAAGAAACGTGCTCTTTTCACCTTCCGCACCTTCCTAGTCACCTGTGCCCCTGCTGAGCGACCGACTCGGCCGGGACTTGTGTCACACATCCTGCCTTTGTGAGAGAATTATCTCCCGGTTTTCCCTGTTTGTAAACGTCCCTGGGAACCAGGGAACTAACTGAGATTACAAACATTGTATTAAGTATTCCGTCAGTCTGGCGTACTCCAGATATGACTTAAAGTTCTTGGTTTCGTTCTACATATATAAGCCAGGTCTTTTTTTTGCTGGTGTAGGTCTACCTACAGTTATGCTGGCAAGGAACACAGGCCGTCAATCTGATATTGTATAGAAGTCGGGCACTTGAAATGAGCAAAAAACCTGTCAGTTAAATGGGAAGCTCACTCTTTTTTGCGTATTTTGAAGGTTACTCTTCAACATCATCTATATAGACTTTGTAGGATTCCCTTCTCATTTTTTAGCGTGCAGAGAAGAAGCAAATGGGACCTTATTCTAAACTTAAATATTGAAGCACAGATGCTTTCCTAATTAATCTATAGAGTTTGTGCCAAGAAATCTTAAAGTTTGAGTTTGGTACATTGCTGCCCCAATTAAAATATAAAGGCTCCCTTCCAATACACTGCTCTTTTAGAGGTACCGAGCATCACATCCTATTTATCTTCCTGTGTAGCACCGCTGTAGGAAATCCCACAGAAATCAGTTGTAAAAATGCCATTCATTTCCACACAGTTAACATAAACTGTGCAGTCAGTGCAGATTACAGATTCACTAATTGAGTTTGTAAGCTGTTCTGAACATGCTTTCAGAGAGACATACTGGTGTATTTTAGCACTCCAGAGTCTGGGATGATGCCATCAAAAATTAAAAAGACTCTACCTATTCCAAATTCCTAACTCTATATAAATGCGAACAGTAGTTAATTAAGTCACCTTTGACAATTTCATTACCCTTCTAATCATGCTTGAGTGCTATTCAAAATTTTGAGTGGAGCAGGTTCACTATTGAAAATAGAGACTCACACACATATAAGCAAATTAATTACTTGAAATCAATATGTTGCAATTCTTAGGGCTGTGCCATTAAGTTTTTAGAAATACTCAGGTTCTGAAAATCCATGACAATATTTATGAACTTCAGAAGTTTAGCAATTTTGTACCAACATTGTGGTGGTTTTCTCCCTGTCATTTCTCTGTTAAAATGTTTCGGTTATCCAGCCAGAAAGCAGAAGCAATGTGATCATCACATGCCAGGAATTATGAATAAAAAATAGCAGTTGTAGCATACAGTTTGTGTTTCCTTCCTGTAGAAATTCTTCACTCAAACTATTTGGTGAATACTTATGCATGATAAATACACTCACAGATCTCAAGGATGATTCACTTTTGACATGCAAATAAAGAAACAAGACTAAATTAATCTTGTTCCCAATTCACTTAATAAAATTAAACCCTACCAAAGTATTTCAGTTTGATTTATAAAGCTTTTAGGCTACCGTGTTTTGGGAGACACTACCTCTTTCCTCCTGCAGTCCCACAGAGGAGATAGATAGGTACTGCGTGGCTGGCTGGAACAGACCAACACTACATTTTCATGTACAGGTCCAGTAAAGGAGCATGCATTTCCCCAGTTAGTCTGGTACAGTTAGAAGCATGTTTACTTAACCTAATTCTCATGTTGAGATAGAGAGCAAGAGTTGATATTAGTCTGTTCTGGAGTCTTTTTTCCTTTTTTTAATCTATGGCAGTCTTTAAAAGTTACGTATGTGAATCTTGTCCTTGGGAAATAAGACTCAATGCCCTCAATAAACTAATATGCAATGAAATGAATGCACAAATATTGCAGACTCTGGTAATGACACAAACTTACATTTGGGCATCCTTATCCTCTGCTCATAATGACGTAATAAGCTCAGGTCTCATTTGCAATAAAAGTTGGCATCAAGTGAAACTACTGTGTAGGCTATTGAATCCGCACAATTAGTTCTCCTCACAGAAGATACACTAGTTGTCTTTCATGCTGTTCACAATAAACAAATTTCTTTTATTTGACCTGTAATCATGGGATTCTTACGGTAGTAAATATTATAGTTGGCATGTATTTGTAGGATGATGACTTCAAGTATTGTACTTATAGTTGGCAGTATTCCTTATGCTTGTATATTATTCTATGAAGTTTGTGACCTATACCTTTGAACAGTTTACTGAAGTAAAACAAAATAGAAAGAGAAAGGTCAATGAAAATATTACTTTTCTAATGCTTTCTAAAAGAGAAGATACCAAGTATCAAAATGGCTGATGTGACAGATGAAAATGAATTTAGGTAGTTTGTGTTTGTTCACCCTGGAATAACGCTCCAAGCCTTACAAAAGCACACCCAGATGATTGATATCTTCCTTCATATATCTATCTTAAGGTCAATACCACTGGGAACAAATTATAAGAAATTTTGCCAAGAGCTTATCCCACAACAAACCATCTGAAATAGCCTATAAATAAAATATCTGTGAGGGGATTCATAGATACATAGTAAAGATTGATATATACCTGAAAAAAAAACAGTAATGGAAAAATAGCTATTTCTTACGGCTAAAATTGAAGATATGGGTATCAGAAACCTGCAGTTCCCCCACATTTTGGTGACCTCTGATGAAAAATGGCTGACACGACTGCAGGTTGTTTTTACGGTGAAGAACATTGTGTTCAGGGTGACAGGTCACCTCGGGGCCCTGTGCAGAGTCCCCCACCGGCCCCATCCGGCTGGGGCCGTGCGGAGAGGTGCCTCGGACGCCCTGCACCCCGTCCGGGGCTGTGGGACAGGTGCTGGCTGGGAGCCCTGCCCGGCTGCCCTGGGGGAGCCCCCGGTGCTTCAGCAGCTGGAAACAGCTGGGCAGGTGGATCAGGATCAACCGCTGAGCATGCCTAGCACAGCGCTGCGCATGGAAGTTGGGCATCCAAATCCAGGCAAGCGCATACATTTTAAGCACCTTGGGAAAGTGCAGTAAATGTTTCATTAGTTCTCTGTAAGAAAAGAAAGTGTTATATTTGTGCCACAAACTGCAAAAGCAATTTATAGCTATTTTAAGAAAGTGGCTGAACTGGTTAGGTCGAGCAAAAATATGCAATTAAAAATCTTAGAAATAATCATTTCTCTCTACTCAGCCAGTTTATGCAGATGTGAGAGCTGCCCTCGCACTACTTCTCTCATCGTACCTAGTAGCTTTCCGGCCTTTTGAATCCAAAAGATATTTACAAGTTTTCATACCGTTAAACCATTAAGTGTACTTAGTCTGCAGCAATAAACTATAAGGCAACTTCATTCATATCCTGACGTACAGCACCTCATTAAGCAAAGTTGTGGCAATACCTTCTAAGTCTTATTTAAGACTTCATCCATTTAATAACAATGAATACAGAGTTATTAGAGAAATTGTCAAACCATTATAGAAAGAATAAATTCTCTGCTTGTACCAATGAGAAAATCTCTACTGAATTCAATGGATCTGGCCTTTATTACACAGAAGATGTTTCTTCTAAACTGTCTGTTTTCAGGCATTATTGAAAGACCTCTGAAATAAATTTGATGGTGAGGGTCACAGTGCTGATCCAGTTGGAAAAAACACAAATCACATGCCATGTAACTAAGCCCAAATAATTCATGCTTTTAGAGACTGATGTTCACTTTTAGTTGGTTTTTTTACTTACTGCTTTATACGTTCTCTTTTGTCCAGCATGTTTTCTGATTTGTTCTCCATTAGGCCCAGTTTCAACATGCATGGAATAGATAATGTCAAAGAAATCTTCTACGACGGCTACCCGCCGTAAAGACAGCTTCTCATCTACACCTACTCCATCCTGAAAAGAAAAAAAAAGAGAAAAGAAAAAGTAAGGAGGATGGGATGAATAGATAAATTATGA